TCAGGGCACACACCTGGGTTGTGGGCCAGGTCCCCAGTTGGGGGCACACGAGAGGCAACCACACACTGATGTTTCTCTCCCTCTCTTCCTCCCTCTCTTCCCCCCTCTCTAAAAGCAAATAAATAAAATCTTTTAAAAAAGAAAAAACAGTGGTCAAATCATTCCAATGAAAACCACCTTTTAAAAAAGGAGGTCCTGACTGGCGTGGCTCAGTGGGTAGAGCATCGTCTTGGAAGCAGAAGGTCTCAGGTTCAATTCTGGTCAGGGCACGTGCCTGGGTTGCGGGCCAGGTCCCCCCGCCGCCCCCCACCACTGGCTTGGGAGCCCGTGAGAGGCAACCAATAGATGTTTGTCTCACACATTGATGTGTTTCTCCCTCCTTTACCTTCCCTCTAACTATAAATACATACAATCTTTTAAAAAGGATTAGTCCACTCCTCCACTGAAAATATAGGCTTACCCAGAAGACAAGAGTCTTCTATTACCCCCCTCAAGAAATAGACACTTCTAAGCAGATCTTCTTTATACACTAGGCTCTCCCATTCACCCTTGAGGAAGGTGGCGCTATCCTCCAACTTTGAAGGAAATGAACTATTCCCTACATGTTCCAGAATCTCTTCCAGTCATCCATCCACTGTTCCTACTATCCCCTCTGACAACATCTCCTGCCTTCCTGGTCCCACAGCTTCCAGCATGCGGTCCAGCATGAGACTACCAGGACCCAAGGAATTCTGGGATTGCCCTTTTGTCACCATTTAACCGAACGGTGGAGCACAGTGCTCTCTCCGTAAGAGAGGCTGTGCCTACTTACCTGGGCATCCTGGTATCCCTGGAGCAGCAGGAAGTAGGGCCGGTTGCTGGGGGCCTGGATGAGGCACTGAGTCAACTGATCAAAGTCGCCAGGGTCTGTAGGTCCAATCTGGGCGTCCGCTGCCCCTGGGGCCATGCTGAGTGCCTGCTGCCTCCGCTCCTGCTGCCTCCGCCGCCGACCCTGCAGGCTGAGCTCTGACACGCTGCGCCGCAGAGACAGGTTTTCTGAGCGCTCCTTGCCCGTAGACCCAGCCGGGGGCCCTGACCCTGACCCTGGACCAGGGCTGGCCAGCGCCGCCCCGCCCGACGCTGCCCGGGACCGGTTCTTCTGCGGCCGCCACAAGGCAGGGCCCGTGCCTGTGGAGAGAGACGGAGAGCAATGAGGCTGCCGCTGGAAAAAGACGCAGGGAGAGACAGACACAGAGATCTGGAGATTATCAAGAGACCAAGAACTGGCTACAGAGGGATGAGGCTGCTTCCTACATTTAGGTTTTTTGCATATGCTGTTCCCTGTGCCTGGGACATACTTTCTGCCTGACTCCTGCCCATCTGGAAGTTTTCATCTCAGAAATTCATTCATTCTTTCAGCTAACAAATTTTGAGCACCTATTATGTACTGGGCTCTGCGCTAGGCACAAGGGACTTTATAGTGAACAGAGAATATCCTGCCCCCAGGGAAACAAAACACCTTCCATGATATTCCAAGTTGAAGCAGAGAACGGTGCCCCTGGGCACTTTGGGCTTTGTCTGGGCCCGGCACAGCCCTGGCATACAGTCCGTCCCTAGTGGAAATGAGGTGAACTAGTGAACTGATGTGTTTCTCCCTCGGCTATAAAATCTAGAAGGAAAGAGACTTCACCTGCCAGTGTCCCCATTGTAGTCCCCCAGGGTCCTAAACGATGTGTGGCCCAGAGTAGGTGCCCAAATGAATGCTTTTTAAAGGGGAGGGGGGAAGACAATGATGGTTATAATTGCCATTCTTTATTAAGCACCTAATGTGCCAAACACTGCGCTAAAACTACCTATGTACGCTATCTCATTGAACCTGCACTTGGCATTTTGCTGACTTTCACTGGCTAAGAACGGATTGGAATCTCAGCTTGAGTTCAAAGTCCAGGGGTTTAGCTACCGCACCACTCTAGCTCCCAAAAGGGGACTCAGAAACAGAAAAGAGGTACAGGGCTCCCTGCGCAGCCCTTTCTCCTGTGAGCCTGGCCCCACCTTTGCCAAGCTCTGCCACTAATTTGCTATTTCACCAGTGGCACCACCTCCTGTCCCTGGTCCGGTCTTCTCAAACACCAGGCCAACAGGTAAGCATAACCTTCCCTGGTCTTCAGTCAGACTTCGCAGCTAACCCAGTTTAAGGCCACCTGCTCCAAGGCCCGCCCCTCTGAGGCTCCGCCCATTCTTAAGCTTTGCCCTGGTAACACATTTCTTGGCATCCATGGCCCACCGCCTTCTAGTCTCCATTCACATAAAACTGTCCCTCAGGAAATACTTCAACCTACTACTCTGAGAGGCCCCACCCAATACCCCTCATTCCAAGCTACTCTGTTCTGCAGGCCCCGCCCCAGCCAGCACATAGGCCCCGCCCATGGGCTCTGCACTAACCCCAAGGGCTCTGGCCAAGCGCTTCTGGCTGACACTGGTCCGGCCCCAGCTCCTGCCTCCCCTACACCGGGTGCTACAAGTCTCGCCCAGTCCCCTTCCAAGGGCCCCTTTTCAGCCCTGCAGACCCCGCTTCGCTCTGGCCCCGCCCCAGGCCCGCCCCCGCCCCGCAGGCCCCACCCCCAAAGTTCCGCGGACCGGCTCACCCTCGCTGTCCGAAGCCCCGAAAGCCTCCTGCTCCAGGCGGCGAGCCTCTTCGCGGCCACGCAGCTCGAAGCGGCGCGCCCAGCCTGGCCGCGCTCGCCACAGTTCCTGCACCAGCAGCGGGCGCTCCAAGTCGCCCAGCACGCGCAGGTGCTCCGCCCGCCACTCGCCGTTGCCTACGCCGCCAGTCGCTGGCCTGCCCAGCGCGTCGCACAGCGCGAAGGCGTCCACGCAGTTGCTCTCACCAGGGCCGCCGCCGGGACTGCTGGCCAGCCCATAACGCTCTAGCGCCTCGGCCACCAGCTCGCGTGCCGTGGAGCGCGCCGTGGCCAGCACACTCTTGTAGTTAGCGCCCGACGCCAGTCCGGCGCCGAAGATCTTCAGGACCCCCGGGGGCGCAGTGGCGCGAGCGGCCAGTGGGGGCTCGGGGGCCACGCCCGCCGCCAGGTCGGGCAGCTTTTTCTCGCTGGCCCAGCGCTGCGCGCTCCCGGGCGTCCCGGGACCTCCCGCGCCGCCAGATCCCGTGGCCCCGGTCCCCGAGCCCCGAAAGAGCTGGGAGATGCGCTTGGCGCGACTCCCCGAGGCTCCCCCGGCCGCCTTAATCGCGCCCACTCGCCGCAGCTCCACGTGCGGCGGCGGCGGGGGCAGTGGCTCGCTGCTGCGGCTCCCCGTGTCTGAAGAGGAAGACCTGGGAGTCCGCGGGGGAGCAGAGATGTGGGAAGGAGAGACCCAGAAAGACACGTAGAGAGCGGGGAGTTAGAGAAGGAGGGCGAGGAACAAAGAGACCCAGATGGGGGGGGCGTGCAGAGACCCAGAGATGGGGTGAGAGGCACCCATTGAGAGGAGACCGAGACCCACAGAAAAGTGAGAAGCGTTGGGTGTATGGAAATGGAGGGTGGGCAGAAGCCAGAAGCAAGAAGAGAGATCAAATAAATAAATAAATAAAGGCGAGTCCCGCAGAAGGAAATTGAGCGGGGAGGGGAGGAAAAGAGGTGACTCAAGCCCATGCTCCTTCTGGGTCCCCATCCCTGTGTCCATGGGCCTCAGTGCATCTCCAGGCCGAGCGCTTCCCCCACCCCGCGGCCGATATCACTGTGGCCCACTGTGTTCTCCCGATATCACTTGGCCAGTCAGGGGTCCCTGGCACTGCCCACCCAGTGCAGGGACTGGGTCATGAATAAGGACAGACAGGAGGCAGATGGGGCAGGGGCAGGAGTTTCGAGGAGGGCACTCACTTGACAGAGGCAGCGCTGGGCCAGCGCCGCCCCAGCTTGGCCAGCTGCTTCCTGGGAGAATTGATCCACAGGCCCACCGGGAGATGGAGCTTCCCGAAGCGGGGGCTCCCGCCCTCCTTCCGTTCACCAGATAGCATGGCCTAAGGGAAGGTGAGCAAGGCCCAGACTCCTGAGGCTCGGAGTAGCGGGGATGGGCTGGAGAGGGGTCTGGGCTCCGTCAGAGCAAGGAAGGGCCTGGGGCTCAGACTCCTGAGTCTGGGTAGAGGACACGGAGGGCAGCTTGGACCTCTGGGTTTGGGGACGGGAAATGGCTGGGGACTGACTCCTGGGTCTGAGGAAGGAGGGCCTGGACTCCTGGGTCCCCAGCTCTTACCCTGTGTCGGGTCCCAGCAGCACCCGTGGGGACCCTGGCTCGGCTGGCCTGGGTCGGCTCCTGACCCCGCTGCTCCTCGGCCCCAGCTCCCGGCCTTTCCTCTCGGCCCCAGCTCCCGGCACTGGGTGGGGGACAGGAAAAGGCAAGAGGAAACCCGGGCAGGAAGAGCGGGGAGGGGGCGTCCTGTGAGGGAATGGGGCCTGGGGGCGGGGAGGGCTGACTCTGCCCCACTCCTTGATTCTGGAATTACTTCGCTGCCGCTGGGACCCAGGGGGCCAGACTTCCAGCCCCTCCTCCCTCAGACAGGAGACCCTCCCTAGACCTCTCCTCTTGGGGAAACCAAAAGTTAGGATCAGAATGGAGGAGCGAGTCAGATACTTAGAAAACCAGATAAATCTTTATTGACTTCTTGATAGTTTGGCCTTTTTCTCAGGAACATCGGAGCTCTCAGCAGCTTCCTTGTCAGAGCTGAACCAATACTTTATAGAATCTGTGAAGTATGCAGGATTCCTCTCAGAACAATAGCAAAGTATCCTGGGGGAGGGAAGGGCGCAAAGAGCCGAACCAGATCAGATCCCAGCCTCCCTCTATCTGATCGTATTCTAGCAATAACCCAAGCTTCACCCTCCTAGGTAAGTAAGCTCCAAACTCTTTTCTAGGCACCGCCCTCCATGGAAGCCAGGCTCCAAGGGCTCCCCTGCCCCCCAGATCCCACTCTGCACTGGAAGCCCCGCCCCTCGCTCCGGTCCCTGCCTTCCTCAGGAGGCAGCTCACAAGATGGTAATGCTGGCTATCAGCACCATGAAGCCCCAGCTCAGCAGCCCGGCCAGGAGGTTTCCTAGCATATTCTCCACCTTCGGAGACTGTGACGACAGAGGCTGGAGGGTTGTAGATGGCTTGGTGAGACCCCAAGTTATCTCATCGGGGGCCACCTCAGCCTGGCTTGGGATGTTTGACGACGATGTCTCCTCCACGATTCTTTTGGGCAACACTGTTAGAGGAGGAGGGAGGAATAGCCCTAGGAAGGCACGAGGGCTCTGCCAGCCAAGCAAGGCGAGCCCTCCCACCCCAGCCCGCCCCAGGACCGAGGCCCTCCACGAGATCATCAGAATCACGCGCCTTCGACCGCGCAGAGCCGGAACACACCCGGAGGGGAACCCTGCCACTGTGGCAAGAGGCCACACCCAGGGCAGGAAGTGACACTTTCATGGAGTGAAACCACACCGCGGCAGGAAATTATTCTCCCATAACTTACGCCCCTGAAGGGGGCTGCCCCCAACCCCAGGACCCTGAACCCCGTAGCTCTTTCAACTCCCCAGCACCGACCCGTGACATGAAAACGGATGATGGTGGCAGGGCTGGATTTCACAGTGTCCAGCTGGCAGCGATAAGTCCCTGCATCCTTCGGAGCCACCATGGTCTTTGTCAGGGTGGGCTCTTTCCCCTTGGACACCAAGGTCTCGGTCTTGTTCTTCCAAACCTAGACCCAAGCTCAAGGGGTCACAGAGGCCTGGGGAATTCAGGGGTTGGGGGAGTACCGGGGTAAGAAAATCACGGGGCCTCCGGGGAGTAGATGGGAGTCCTGGGTGTACTGGTCAGGGTAAAGGGTCCCCGGGGGGTCAGTGGCAGCCAAACTTGGTAGGTCACGGGTCATGGGGAGTGTAGGGCAGGCCTATGGATACAGGGTTCACACGGGCCGGATGGGCTTGGATTTCAAGGGTACGCGAGTTGGAGGACCCCACCCTGTAAAAGCTGTAATCGGTCAGGCCTTGAGAGGCTTGATGCCAGTTGAGCTCACAGTCGAGGATCATGTCTTCCATTTCATGGACGTTGATTTTGCGGTCTGGGGATAGGGGCTTACTGTGGGACGCTCCTTTATGGCTCTTGGTGGTCCCTCATGCCCTTTCCAATGGGTCAGCCCTGCCTTTTCTCTCGGGCTGGCTGTAGTCTCCGCCCTCTCCGTACTCAGGCACTCCTCCGGCTCCGCCCCTTTTGCGCCAGCCCCTCCGACTGGACCCAGCTCTCTCACCCCCACAGTCCAAGGACTTCCGACAGGCATGAACCTGCTTCTCGCAGGTGCTGCACCAGATCAGAGTCTGCAACATCATACCTGCAGAAGCAGGGCCAAGGCTGTATTTGCCCACAAGGGGGCGGGGCTAAACGGAGAGGGCGGGGCAAGGCTGGAGCGCAGCCCTGTAGGGAGCCGGGATCTAACCAGGCTCCGGAAAGAGTGCTCCGCAAGATGGCCTTGGTGCAGAAGGAACACCGGAGACCCAGGGACCTCTTAGACGCGGAGAATGAAGAGACACGGAGATCCAAAAGGGGGAGGAGAAAGGCTGGGTATTCACAGTGCAGGGATGAGGGAGAGAGGGCCAGCACCCATAATCCTGACTTACCGCATTTGTTGGGACAAAAAGCTGCCTCGGAAGAGAAAAAGAGAGAGAGAATCAGATTTTTACGTTAAAGGGATGAGCCCTGGCTGGTGCGGCTCAGTGGATTGAGTACCGGCCTGTGAACCAAAGGGTCACTGGTTCAATTCCCAGTCAGGGCCCATGCCTGGGTTGCAGGCCAGGTCCCCAGTAGGGGGCGCTTGAGAGGCAACCACCCACTGATGTTTCCCTCCCTCACTTTCTCCCTCCCTTCTCCTCTCTAAAAATAAATAAATACAATCTTTAAAAAAGGGGGGTGGATGAGAGAGGGGACAAAGGAAGAGGTTCGGACTAGAGCTCCTGGCTTTGAGGGGAGGAAGGAGCTGGGTGCCGGAACCCTTGTGTCTGAAGGAGGAGGGGGTTGGGAGAACTGAGCGACCAGGCTTGGAGAAGCAAGGGGCTGGGGACAGGGACTCTTGGATTGTGGAAGGAGGGGGCTGGGGCCCAGGACTCTCATTTTCCCTCACCCTCTTTTTGGAACTGAGCGACATATTTGGCAAAGGTATCCTTTTGCAGGCTCAGCATCCAGAACAGCTCCTTCACCAGGAGCTCACCTGGGAAGAAACAGGATGAAGCAGAGTGATCCCCTTCCCCCCTCCCAGGCAAGGAAGTTTGCCTTTGTCTGTGAGCCTGGCATTCACTTTTCAGCCTTTTTGGAAAAATCGTGAAACTGAATGGCCACTTAACATGCTGGCTAAGAACAACCCAGATGAGTCTGCACTGTTATGGCCTCCATTTTTGGGACGATGAAGCAGCAAGGCCACGCAGCTAGGAAGTGGCAGAGCCGGGACCTGAACCTAAGCAGACCCCATTCCCTGACCCCCCAGACCAGGCATCACCAGCAATCACTTCCTTGAGAGAAACTGGAACCCCGCCCCTGTGCTCTCCATGCATTTGCCTTTTACTTCACTGTCCGTGATGCGTTTCAGATCCTTCAGCAAACTCCAAGATGCCTTTTCCAGTGTGGCCTCATCTGTGGGGAGACAGAACCCCAGATTCTACTGTTACTGTCTCATTGGCTTCCCCAGTCTTAGAAACTACAATACCCATGGGGCCACTGGACAAGGATAAGCATAGTTAAGGGATTATTTGCCCGTTGCTTTCTGGGAGTTGTAGTTCTATTACATAAAATTGCAGGGTAAGGGGTAGGGGAACACAGTATTTGCTAGCCCTGGGGAACCCCGAAATCTGTACCTAAGCCTGCTACATTTTTTAGTCCAGGAGACTCTGCCTCCGGCCCTTTCCCCCCTGCACCCAGCAATCCTAGCCCAGATCCCCCTCCTTTCCCAGGACCCAGGAGTCCCTGCTCCGCCCTGCCCTCACCGACGACCCCCATATAGGAATCCTCGTCAAGCGGCAGTTCCTTGAAATTCTGCACGGCCAGCTTTACCCTTTCCATCACGTTTTTGTGATGCTCAGCCCCCAGGTGGCCAGGCAAGTAATCCGTCTCCAAGGAGTTTAGCGCCTCCACGACCTTTGTATCACATATGACACAGCCCAGGGCAGGAAGCAGGCAGCTGGCCAGCGCCGCTACCAGGAGGGGAAGCCGTGGCCCCATCGAGGTCAGAGCGCTCAGTCCGCGCAGACCCCAGGAAGAGTCCTCTCACCCCGAGGAGGTGAGCGCTAAACGAAGAGACGCCCTACCCCGAGACTAATGGACCCCCAATTTGTAGGGCGCACAATTCTCGTTAGGGAACTGAGGAGTCCTGATGCACCCTAAACAGCCGCTGCCCGCTCTTCACCCCAGAGGCTTGTACCCTCAAACACTAGGGTTCGCTGAAGAGCTGAGTCCAGGTTCTGAGGGCTTTGAGAGAAGAGGACTAGACCACGTCCTTCCGCTCTAATATTTTCCTACTACTAAAATTAAGGATTTTGTTAGAGGCAAGCGTGAGGTTGGTTGCGTGGTATAGAGATTTGACTGGGGTCAGAGTCACGGTTCGCCCCTATCTACAAGGTAATTCCCACAGCCTCCGTCTTCTAGCTTCCTACGTGGAGCCCGGAATTCCCAAGAGACGTTACCTGGGGGCTTCCTTGGCCCCGCCCAGAAGCCCAACTCTGAGTCTGATTGGACCACAACAAAGAGAGTCCCCGCCTATCGCGCCTTGATGTCACAGAGACAGCAGTCTTTTCGGACCCGAACTTCCACAGCATCGATAGAAGCTTCTATGGAAGTACCCTATCTGCACCAGCTTTCCAGCAACAAGGAAAAGAATTCTGGACTTTAGCTTCTTCCCTTCCCTGCTGGGCCCCGGGACCCAGGCTTCCGGCTAGATGCCCACGACCCCGGGCATCGAGGTACGAGGATGCTAATAGTGGCCCTTCCCAGCCCTAGGACTACAACTCCCAGAAGGCTCCGGGTCTCTCCTTAGCAGACTACCGTAGTCAACCCCGTGGCATTATGGGAAGTGTAGTTCAAGAATTATACTGTGTCGGGGAAGGAGGTATAAGGAGATAAATGGTAATGCAAAAAATAAAATAAAAAAATACTAATATAAAAAAAAGAATTATACTGTGTGCTCACTTCTTCCACCTTCTCTCCAAACCTCTGGGACTGAATGCCAAGGTCCCAGAGGAAAGAGAGGTCTGGAGGCCAGTACTGAGAGATGAGAAAGGGATTGGGGCTCGGAGACAAGGCTGGCAACAAGGAGGCTGCCAGGTCTCAGCAGGGAAAATGCCCCAAGACATGAGCCATGAATGTCCCTGGAAGTTCTGCACTTTTCCTTCTTCTAACACACACACACACACACACACACACACACACACACACACCCCGACTCCAAAAAGTCTACAAACGGGTTGGTGATGTGGATTTTAATTCACACCTCCCTCTCTCCCACTTTTGGCAGCTGAGTGGCGAATAGTCCCTCAGAAACTCCCCGAGAAGACTACAAAATGGGCTTAGGTTCTTAGACCATTCTGCAATAAAAGTATCTACTTTCACCCCCTTCAAAAAGCATCAAGGGGTTCCTGAAATCCAAGTCAAGAATCCTATCCTCCTTGGCCGAGGGAACTCCTGCTTGGGGGTGAGGCTAATCCAGGGTCTGCGTACCCTCCGAGCTTTCCATCCCTCATTGCCGAAGCCAGGTTTCACTACGTTCTGTGAATTCTGGGGCAGGCACTGATCGGAAAGGGGCACAATACCAGTGGCTTTCTGCAAGTCCAAGGGACACATTTATGCCAGCTGACTTCTAGAGAATCCACCCCATCTCCCCCAGCAGCCCAGCTGCAGAGGAAGAAACGTCCTCGATTAGGAGAGGCAGCCCAGACTCGGAGCCAATATGGACAGTGCCTGTGTTTGGTAGTTTTTGAGCTTAAAACAAAACAAAATGGAGTCTCCCTATATTTCTGGAAAGCCTTGCTTCAGACGCTGCAGCGTTTTGGCAGCCATCGCTCTCCTCCGCCCGCCACGTTTTAGCCTATCTGCTGAAAAATAAAGTCTTTGTGGTTCTTTTTAGGGGTTGAGAGGTTAGATAGAGTCTCGCTCTTCTCACAAACTGCCCCAGCTACACAGAGTTTGTCTTCCATCAGTCTGCCGGGCGGTGGTGAGGTGCTGAGCTTCTGGTTGTACCTTAACTCAACTCTTCACCGAAGTTATCCGGGATTCCAGGACCCCTGCTCCTCAGGAAGGGTCCTGCAGGGTTGGCCGTCTCTAGAGCAAGTGCCCCTTCTAGAACCACTCCAGAAACACAGAAGAGAAGCTGGCCAGGGCTTGCTCTAGAATACCCATGAGTTCCTTCAGTCCTGAGGGCCCAGGAAGAGAGAAACGTCTCTCTTACAAAAGACCTAAAGAGTCAACACTAGAGGGAGTAGTTTCTGATTCCCCGGGAGCAGCCACCTGCAAGTACTCTGGACACGGGCTGGGAAGAACAGGTGGCCATTGGGCCTTGCAGAACCATCACGAGTCTCCCCAGACATTGCCAGTGATCAGGAAAATACTTTCCACTGGTTCTAGAATGTTCAGGCAGTTGCTGGAAGCCTCTCTCTGAAATTCTAGCCAACCAGAATGGCTCTAGAAATGGGTGCCCACCTGCTCAGCAGGACCACCAGAGGCTGCTCGGCCTCGACACACATAACACTGGCTCTGGACTGATCAGTCTATCCCAAAAAGACTCCTGGGCGATTTCTGGAGTGGAGACAAGTCTGCGTTGATGCCCACCCACTCAGGCAGAAAGGCGGCCTCGGGCTTGAAGATCTTGAGGAAGTGGGAGTCGGGCAGCGTGAAGTTGGCCAGGTAGACGGTGTCTCCACCCGCCAGGTAGGCGGCCCAGAAACCAAAAGTGCCGATGGTCATGACGGTGTGGTTGCACTGCGTGAGCAGCGCAAAGTCCCGTCCCGGGGAGCCCTCCTGCCCGTCGCCAGCGAAGATCACGTCCCCCTGGGAAGTGTTGATGTTCTCCCGGCACCAGGCCATGCCGTTGCTGGTGACCACGAAGATGGGGGCCTCGTGCCGAGCCCGGAACCAGTCCATGGCCTGCTGGAGGTAAGCGCCGTCGCCCACCACGCCCTTCCAGTGATTGGGCATGACCTCCAGGTAGTCCCCACGGCGCACGTGGACCCCCACGAAGGTGCGCGGGAGGCCCCCAGTGCGGGGCAAGCGCAGCTGTCTCAGGAAACCTTGGGCCTTTTCCCGAAGGTGGTCGTGCAGGGTGAACTCCCTCCGGATCTGATCCCGGAGATGGTGGAAGAAGGTCCAGGAGCAAGGGAAGCCAGTGAGCTTCAGCACGGGGTGCTCCAAGTGGCTGTACTCCTCCGACATCCAGTCGTGCAGGTCCAGCTTCCGCCAGGGCGTGAGGCCGTCCACCTCGGGCGCCAGCACAGGCAGGGTGATGCGGAACAAGGGGGCCAGGACGGCGTGCATGGCGGGCAGGATGAAGGCCTGGCGGCCGTTGAGCTGCGCCAGGGCCAGCAGCGTGGCGTACTGCCCCATCTGATTACCCAGCCGGCCATCGGGGGAGACAGTCCAGGTCCCTGAGAGGGAGGCAGCGGGCCCGGGAGGGGGCGAGGAGGCGTTCGGGCGTCCCGGAGTGCCTGACAGGCAGAAGATGGCCACGGGGGCTGCCACCAGGTGTCGGCCTGCAAACAGGACAGACACATCCAGGACACTGTGAAAGACGTCTCGGTAGATGTGGAGGAAGGTGACTGAAGCAAGGACACAGACTAGCAGGAAGGTCAGACAGAGGTGACGGCGGCGGCCGAGGGTCCACATGGCTGCAGGGGAGAGAGAGCGAGTTAGCGGAAGCTCGGAGCCTGAGGGAGGTGTCGGGGAGGAGAGGCCCGAAGGAACAAGGGGACTCAGAGTTTGGACTCCGGGTCTGACGGAAAAGGGGATCAGGGTCCAGGGCTCCTGCATCTGAGGGAGCAGGAGCAGGAGGTTTGGGATCTGGGGTTACGGGGTCGTGGATGGTGAAAATCGGTGGTTTCCAAGATGGCAATAGTCCAGGACTCCACATCCCGCCTCCACCTCTTGTGGTCTGTCCTCACCGGGCCCACCCGGAAGGCCCACTGAAGCTGGACTGGGTTCCAGCAACTCCTTTCTCCCGCGTACCCCTGCATGAGGAACAGAATCCACCATGGAGGCGACAGGAAGCCACAGGCCAAATAGAAAGCAGGAGGCTGGAGGGCCAGAACTGATTAGGGATCTTGCTTCTGGGAGGAGCAGGAGCCGGGGAGACAGGGTGGAGGCCACTCCTCGGCTCACAGAGGGTTAGAGGGTGGAGGTGCGACACCCGGCTTCGGGGTGTCCGCATTTCTCACTCATCTGAGCTCCCGGCGGGTGGCGCGTACCCCCTCGCGCGGCGGGGCCCGAGCACGCTGTCCTCTAGAGCCGTCTACACCCGGCCGCCCCGGAACCGCAGACTCCAGGTTCCGGGGACCGGCCGGCCTGCCCTCCACGTCTCCTCCCTCGACCGGCGGCCAGGGCTCTGGGAGGAAAAACGGCGGGAGCGGTCCGCTGGTCCACAGCCTCTACCTCTCCCCGGGCCAGGCGGGTAGTGGCGAAGCGGAGCCGGGCGCCTTCCCGCCGGGGGGACCCACAGTCCCATCCCCCTTCTCCCTGGCATTGGCCAACCAGAGGGCTTCGTCCCGGGCAGCCTACCTGGCCACGCAGGAGACGCGTCCTTGGATGGGCCTGGGGATCCAGCGCCCCGATGCAGGGCCGGACCCGGGCGATCCGTCGGCCTCTCCCTCTTCTACTGCCGCGCCTGGGCTCGCCCAGTCTCTGGATGCGCCCAGCCAGGCCTCGCCCCAGCCCCTTGGGGTGTGGCCGGCACAGGTGTGGGCGCGGGGCGGGGGCGCGGGGGCGGGGGCGGTGCAGTTCTCCTCCCCCGACCGTGTCCTCGGATGAGGCTGGGGAACCTGTTTGCCAGGCTGCGGCAGGAACCTCTTCCAGCTCTCGGGGTCCCATCTGAAGGTGTCCCCTCGCCCGCCAGGGGCCGCTGACACCCCCGCCCCTGGTCTGAGCCAAGGCCCCCAGCCTCTCCTTTGAGGAGATTCCAGGGTCCAGCGCCTAACTTCCTGGAGGGGCACATCTCGCGGCAGCCTCTCCTGAGGACTGGAAGGGACGAGCACAGTCGAAGTGACTCTTCCTTGCCTGCCGCAGGGTCTCGAGTGCAGCGCGGGAACAGTGGCCTTGGCCGGCCCGCACAAGGAGTGCAGCTTCCCATCGCTGGAGGCGGCCCGCACCTCACCGACCCGCCCCGGCATCTGAAAAAGACACGGGAATGGGACTGGACTCTCCAGACGCTGGATTGTAATTCCTCCACACGCAGAACTGGCTCTGGGAGTCCTCAGAGGGAGAAAATCCAGGCCTCTAGGACCTCCCTTCTTCCTAGGAGAACGGGGTGTCCACTCTCTTCACCCCCAGGTTCCCAGGAATGACCCATCCTTCACTCCCTTCAAGCTCTTGGGTCTAAGCGCCACCACCGGAGAGGGGTCTGGCCCAGAGCCGGTCTGCCCGCGGCCGGCAGGGGGTGTGTGGGTTCTTGATTTTGCGGAGGAAAGGTTGCACAACAGGAGCTCAGGCGCCGATGATGGCGCTAAAGCTGGGGACAATGAGACAAAGGGGGGCTTAGCCTGGAGGGAGCAACAGGAGAGGGACTATGTAGGGGAATGGGTCTGGGCTGGGCTGCCTTGGCGCGCTAAGAAGTCAGAGAAAAGGGGGGCCAAGCAGGGCGGCTCAGTTGGTTGCAGCATCATCTTGGGGCACCAAGGCTGCAGGCTGGATCCCCAGTCGGCATATACAAGGTTCGGCCAATGAATGCATGGACAGGCAGAGTGGCAGGTCAATGTTTTCTCTTGCTCTCTCTTCCTTCCTCCTTTCTCTCTAAAATCAACTAAAAAAATTTTTTGAAGGGGTGTGGGGGCTTGGGGACAGGGTTGGGGGTGAGCCCGGGAGGAGCTGCCGGGGCCCGTTGCTCCCTGGTTGCAAGCCTCACGGGGCCCCGTAAAGGAGCCAGCAAGGGAACAAGAGTGGGGAGAAGAGGGGGGAGGGAATGGTGTGGGCATGCTCCCAGGAGGGAGAGCATGCCAGGACCTTCATTTTGAGGAGTTTTAAAGGTTGGGGGTTTGGGAGGGTCAGTGTCTTGGGAAGGGTGGCCAATAGAATATTCACCGGCATTATGCTGATGTGCCAAAATGAGACTTATTCCCTTAACTTCATCCATCCTTGGGTGTGGTTGGCACAAATTGGATTTCTGCTATCTCCCTGAGTAGGGTGATTTATACTATTTACCCTCTGGTTGAGGAGGAGAAGTGTAAACCATTTACTCTTAAGTGTCCTTGGTTTAAGGAAGATACAATTCATCAGGTAGCTGCCAACTGCTTGGCGTTGAGGTTTACCAGTTGGCTGCCAATGGCTGGTTTAAGCCTCTTTCTCAGTTTCCCTATTCCATTTGTCCTGCCTCACTACCTGTGTGATAACTTCCCTCTCCCGAGTTTGGCTCACCTGCCCGCTGCGTTAGAGACACCCACCCACACAGGCTGTTCTGGGAGCACCTTGCCTGGGCTTGGAGTAGCTTCTCTTGTGAAAGAAACATCTGGGATTGCATCAGGGAGGAAGAAGAGGCCTGGACATGTGATATACCAGCTTCTGGGCAGGGGTTGGTGAGCTTGAAATTGGAGGTTGGCTCCAAGCCAGGTAAGAGCCTTCTGGGCCAGGATGCCTGTGTCCTCACAGAGAACACTTTGGTCAGGCATCACTTACTGATTTGCTGATGACTGAGGAGCTTCAGTGTCTGAACCCAGAAACCTAGAACTTCAGGTGGGATGCAGAAACCCCAGTTACAGGGCACAGTCTGCAAAAGTCGTTGAGGGAGGCAGGCAGTTTACAGGCCCTGAGCCCCTGCTCCCTCAGACCCGGGTGCCCAGACCCCAGCCCCCTCCTCGCTCAGACCCAGGAGCCCGGGCCCCTGACCCCTCCTCCCTCAGACCTGGGAGTCCGGGCCCTCGGCCCCTCCTCCCTCAGACCTGGGAGTCCAGGCTCCCACCTGGAAGGACCCCCTGATTGCATCACCCGTCACGCTGACCTGGCCACGGTGGAATCCTTGCTCCTGCCAAGTGGGTCAAATATCACAGGTCAGGTGAACGGAAGGTGATTGGGCGGGTCTGTCAGTATATAAATTCTGGAGCTTCTGCATCTATCCCAAGAGGCTTGGGTGTCCCGTCGGCTGGGAATCTCCGTGCATTTGGGCTGCCTGAGCAGCAATCCGTGCATCTGCTCTCTCAGAGAGCCAGGATCTGAAACAGAATCTAGACCCTTCAGCGGTTCAGACCGCAGGTTCCAGACCTTGCCTGAAGACGCCAGCTGCTGATGGGCTGGGGCATGGCCAGGTTCCAGCGCCAGGGACTGTGGGCCCTTGTGCTGGCTCTCCTGCTGGGGGCCTGCTGGGCCCACCCCATCCCAGACTCCAGCCCCCTCCTCCAATTTGGGAACCAAGTCCGGCAGCGCTACCTCTACACCGACGATGCCCAGGAGACAGAGGTCCATCTGGAGATCAGGGCTGATGGCACAGTCGGGGGGTCCGCCCACCAGAGTCCCGAGAGTGAGTGTGGGGGCCGGGACTGGCCGAGGGAGGAGGGGCTGGGGGCCTGGAGTCCCGGGGCTGGGAAAAGGCTGTGTGAGCCTCTGACCACTCTCTCCCCTCAGGTCTCTTGGAGCTCAAAGCCCTAAAGCCAGGTGTCATTCAAATCTTGGGAGTCAAGACGTCCAGGTTCCTGTGCCAGAGGCCAGATGGGACCCTGTACGGATCGGTGAGCTTCCAGGGTGGCCCTCCCCGACTTTATCCTTTCTCTTATCTCCTTCACGAGCTAGGGGACCACATCTGGCACCTGTGGCCCGGGCGAGCTTAGGTTCTGTGCTCTCTGCATGGCCCGACCTCACCGAAACCCATGAGGCGGGGGCTGTTGCTATCAATGTTTGCAAGAAGGGGAAACTGAGGCTCAGCCAGTGACACCCCTGGCCCCAAGTCACAAGGCCTGTGAACGGCACAGTGGACTGAGAGACCGAGTCCTGTGTCTCGTAACCCTTGGTGACCCCAAAGGCTTCGATGTGTCTGGCTCGGGCGGGGCACAGGATCACCCAGGGAACCTGAACAGTGACGATGGCCTTAGGTGGTAGCCAGACACCCCATGTGGTCCAGGAGGGCTTTGACTATTCCCTGGGTCAGAGTCTTCCCCTTTGTGAAGTGGGGACAGGAAGTGGGCCTTGCAGGACGGCCCGGGGGTGTCCTAGAGGTTGGGGTGGGAGGCCAGGACCCCTGGGCCCGGCAGCGGGAGGTGTGGAGGCGTCTCTGATCTCCAGTCTTGTCCCCTCAGCTCCATTTCGACGCTGTGGCCTGCAGCTTCCGGGAGCTGCTGCTGGAGGATGGGTACAACATTTACGAGTCCGAGGCCCGAGGCCTCCCGCTCCGCCCGCCCACCCGCAACTCCCCATCCTGGGACGTACACCACTGGGGCCCCGCGCGCTTCCTGCCGCTGCCAGGCCCGCCCCTAGAGCTGCCGGAGCCCCCGAGGGTCCTGGCCCGTAAACCCCCCGATGTGAGCTCCTCGGACCCCCTGAGCATGGTGTGGTCTTCGCAGGGCGAAAGCCCCAGCTTCGCTTCCTGAAGGCCCTGGTTATTTATCATTGGACCTCCTCTTTATTTATTGGCTTATTTATCTTATTTATATTTTTACTTCTCTTACTTGGAACAATAAAGAATCTGAAAGAAGGATCAGAGCGAGCATGTGTGTGTTTGAGGAAGGAAATGGGATCTGCCTTCCCTTCTCCTGCTGATCTCCAACCGCGCCCCCAAGCAACTCTCATTGCTGAAAGGATGGGAGAAGGTCGCAACCTCCACGCCCACCCCCGCCCCCGGCCTCAGCTTTCTGTTCCCATGAGGTGGCCCCAGGGACCCTGGACTACCCCTGCCTTTTGACAGGACAGAACTTACCCCCCACCGACTTTGCCCCAACCTCATATTAGTGCGGTGGAACTATTTCTCCGAGGTACCACAATAACAGGGGATTATTTTTAATGCCACTGTACGTGCACAGCCTCATGGCAGATGTAGTTTTCTGGGTTCACGTCGCACGAGAAATGGGAAGACATCTTGTTCCTCAGAGCTAGGACAGGTCTCTCGGATCCCGGGGGTGTTACTGGTGTTAGGATGGCACTCTTGGGTCCTGAGGGCTCAGACGGCTGGACATCTGGACATGGGAGTCCCAGGGGAACAGGGGACTAGGAGCCGGGGCACCCAAGTCTGGGGGAGGAAGGGCTGGGGGCCCAGACATTTGGTCTGGGGGGGGGCACTGGGGGCTGGGAGCCCTGGGTCTCAGGAAGGTCCGGGTACTCCTCCCCAGGCGCTCATGGGCTTTGGAGCACAAAGACTTTCAAAGACGGGCTTCACCAGAGGGGGGCTTTGTCCAAACACCAACAAGAAGAGAAAACTAGGCCATACGATGGTGGCACAAGGACCGCTACGTAACTGTATCCCGTTAGCAGGGCATACACCTAACGTTTACGCAATGTTAGGAGTCAAATGTATTGCAGTAATGGTCCTTAGGCATGGAGTTTGGTCCTTCCAAAAGAGAGATTCTGTGGAGTAATTCTGAGATCTCTGAGGGCCCCAACCAGGCCAGCCCCTTCCAACTCCCCCATTGCCTCCTACTACATGCACCTGCTACTTGGAGCCTGCAAAGCTGCACACACAGGTGACAGGACTGCCGCCGCCCTTCTCGGACACCCTCACCAAGTGCTCGGCCACAGGGCCACCTCTCCTCCAGGGCAGAGGACCGCTGAGGAGTGCCAGCCTCCGCAGCACTTTCTCCAGTTTCCTTTGCTGCCTATCCTGGTGCTGGTTCGGCCCCGCCCATTTATGTTCCAGGTTCACGGCGCTGTGCTCTCAGCTGCCTCAGCGGAAGGTGTGCTCTGTGAACTTTTGTTCTCCTGCTTGTTCTACATGGGATTTTCAGGAGTGGGATTTGGGAAGAGTAAGAAACTGTGCTGCTGCCTTAACCGGGTGGCTCAGTTGGTTGGGGCATTGTCCCATAAACCAAAAGGCCCTGGGTTCAGCCACATCAGGGCACATGCTTGGGTTGTAGGTTCGATTCCTGGTCGGGGTGCATAGGGGAGGCAATCAACAGATGTTTCTCTCTCTCTCTCTCTCCCCCCCTCCCTTTCTCTGTTATATGTATATATACAACTATGCTGCCTACCTTGAATCTAATTGTGAGGAAACAACAAACAAATTCCAATCAAGTGACCTACTGCCAAACAACTGGTTTCAACTCTTCAAAAATGTCAAGGTCAAGAAAGAGAAAAACAGAGGGCCCGTTCACAAGAACAGAGATCAGAGAGACAGTGCCACAAGGCGCAGCGTGGGAAGGAAGCCGTTTCCTGGCCTGGGCATTCATAAGACACGCGAGGACATTTGAATGCCTTCTATATGTTAGACAGTAGTAATTTATCCACGTTAAAGTTTCTGATTGTGATCATTGTATTGTAATTATTAAGAAGAATGTCCTTGTCCTCAGGGACATGGGGACATAGTATTGTCAATGTTACCTCAAATGCTTCTGGAAATGTAAACATATAATATCTAAAGATAGAGAGTGAACAGTAGAGCAATTGGGGAGGGGCAGGAATGGCAAGAAATGGGGAACCTGGCTAAAGAACATACAGAGTTCTCTGCACAAGGCTTGACATTTTTTATAAATTCAACATTACATCAAGTTAAATTATGTAACACTGTAGCCCCTTCTAAATGCAGGAATAGCTTATGAGGAGAAATCTCTAGGAGCCCCCCCCCCACCAACTAAAAAAAGAAAGAAAGAAAGGGAAAAGGAAAGAAGATAAAAAGAGCCCTGGCTGGTGTGGCTCCGTGGATTGAGCGCCAGCCTGCGAACCAAAGCATCACTGGTTCGATCCCCAGTCAGGGCACAGGCCTGGGGTCAGGCCAGGTCCCCAGTAGGGGGCGTGCGAGAGGTAACCACACATTGGTGTTTCTCCCCCTCTCTTCTTCCTCCCTTCCCCTCATAAATAAAATCTTTAAAAAGAAAAAGGATAAAAAGAAAGGAACAGAAGGGAACGGGGCGAGAGGGAAAAAGGAAATGTAAGAAAGAGGTGACACCTGGAGTGGAAAGCCTCAGCGGACCTGCAGTTTCAATGTGACGTGCCCAGGGCCACCGCTTCAGTGACTGCCAGGTGGTTAAAATCCTACTAGCCTGGGTCCAGTGGGATATTCCATCTTAAAAGGGATGAAAATTCCACTCTGGCCAAGTGGCTCAGTTAGGTGGAGCGTCATCCCATAACGGAAAGGTCATGGGTTGGATCCCCGGTCAGAGCACACACCTAGGCTGTGGGTTCAATCCTTGGTCCCAGGCACATACGGGAGGCAACCGATGGATGTTTCTCTCACATTGATGCTTGTCTCTCACATCGATGTTTCTCTCTCTCCTGTCCTCTCTCTCTAAAAGCAATTTTTTTTAAATGTCCGTGGGTAAGGATACAAAAAAATTGTTTTTCAATAAAACTACATTGTTTTTAAAAAGGGAAGGAAATTCTGATGCACGCTACAACATGGATAAACCTTGAAAGCATTTTGCTGGCCGTGACGTGCGTGCCTCAGATAGTTAGAGCACTGACCCGTAAACTGGAAAGGTCATAGTTTCAAGTCCCGGGAAGGGCAGGCACATGCCTGGGTTTGGGGTGGGTTCAGTCCCCAGGTGGGATCGGTACGTATGAGAGGCAACCAGTGGGTGCTTCCTTCTCACATTGATGTTTCTCTCCCTCTCTCTCTCCCTCCCTTCCCCTCTCTAAAATCAGCAGCATGTCCTCTGGTAAGAATAAATGCGTGTGCGCGCGCACACCCACACACATTTTGCTAAATGAAAGAAAAGAAGCCAGACACACAGGGACAGAGACTGTGTGAGTCTCCTTATAAAGAAGTATCTAGAATAAACAGCTTCATAAAAATAGGAAGTAGAATGGCAGGGGTCGGGGAGAAGAGGGAATGGGAAGCTGTTGAATGGACAGAGTTTCAATTTGGGAAGATGACGATGGCGGAGCAACAGCGTGAATGTATTTAAAGCCACGGAATGGAACACTTAAAAATGCTTAAAAATTGTCTGGTTCAGTGGATGTTTCTCTCTCTCTCTTTCTCTCCCTTCCCCTCCCTAAAAAATAAATTAAAAATAAAATCATTAAAAATGGTTAAAATGGGCCCTGACCGGCGTGGCTCAGTTGGTTCGGTGTTGTCCCACGAAGCAAAAGGTCGCTGGTTCGATTCCCAGTCAGGGCACTTGCCCAGGTTGTGGGCTCTGTTCCAGTTTGGGGTGCATATGAGAGGCAAACGATCACTGTTTCTCTCCCTCTTTTTCTCCCACCCCTTCCTCTCTCTCTAAAAAATAAATAAATACTAAAAAATAAAAAAACTTTAAAATTATAAAAATGGCTAAAATGGTGGTATGTTATGCGTGTATCTCATCACACACTCCACCAAACTTCTCTAAGAAAACTTCAGAAGGAACCCCTGTGGCTTTTTGGCCTCAGGATGGGGAGAAAATGATCCTCTGTTGGAAACTGTGTAAGCACCGGACCCGCCTCACATGGAACGTGTCTGAAGTCACACCGGGTACCTGAGTCTGGGAGCCTGATGGAATAGCGGTGGGACCAGCAATAGCGCCAGGCCTTCTGGCCAAAGCAAAGGTCGCTCTGGAGAAACGCCACTTGACTCAGATATCACGGAGGAAGTCTTGAATGAGTTCATAATCCAAAGTCACAGAATTTACAAGGGGCCGTGGCACGTGGCATATGCCAGCAGAAATATTGGGCGATAATAGTCAGCCGGCCACGTGGTAACTGTAGTGCAGAACTGTCAGGAAAGTAATGATGGTTCAAGATTGGTTTTAAATCCTCAACCAAGGAAATGTTTTATTGATTTTCGGAAGAGAGGGGGGGGGGGAGAGAGAGAGAGAGAGAGAGAGAGAGAGAGATGTGAGAGAGAAACATCAATCGGTTGCCTCCCATACACGCCCCAGCCGGACATCAAACCCACAGCTTTAGGTGTCCGGGAGGACGCTCCAAACAACTGCGCCACTAGCCAGGGTCCTGTGTGTATCATGTATGTACATGTGTTGTCTTCTTTCGAGAAATATCTACTCGAGTCTATTGCCCATGTTTAAAATCAGGTTAGTACTTTTTGTTGGGGTTGAATTGCAAAAGTTCTTATATACTCTGGCCATTAATCCCTTATCAAATATATTATTGCAAATATTTTCTCCCACTCCATTCTTTGGTTTACAGTAAAAGTTTTATATTTGGATATAACCCAATCTACCCAGCTTTGCTTTTGTTGCCCATGATCTTGCAGTCACAGACTGAAAACCATTGCCAAATCCAATGACATGAACCTTTTTCCCTAAGAGAAGCTTTCTTCCAAGAGCTTTATAGTTTTAGGTCTTACATTTAGGTCGGTGGTTCAATTTGAGTTAAGTTTTGCATAACATGTAAGGTAAGGCTCCCCTTCATTGTTTTGCATGTGGGTAACCAGTCTTCCCAGCGCTGTTTGTTGAAAAGATTATGGTAAAGTCTTTTTTGTCAGCAGAGCTCTTGGGTATGGACACAG